TATGTTCATTTTATTTTAATTATTATTTTTTTTTTGCAATTTTTATTATTTTTACTTCAAATCTCCTCACAAAAAATTAAAAAATATTTTAATCCATTATTTAACTTAGTAATTCATTAAATAAATAAATAAATAAATAAATAAATAACAACAGCAGCAGCAATAATAATCAGTATTCAGTTTTAGATGTTATATTTTAGTCATATGTTTTTTTTTTTTTTTTTTACTTTGAGTCTCCAGACAAAAATACTAAAAATTTTTAAACATTTATTTAAAAATTGTTGATTTAATAACTAAATAAATAAATTATGTTAATAATAATAATAATAATAATAATAATAATAATAATAATAATAATAATAACAATAATAATAATAATAATAATAATAATAAGAAGAAGAAGAACAGAAATAATAATCAGTATTAAGTTTTGATTTATTATATTTAAGTCTTTTTTTTTTAGGTTTTTGCCAATTTTTTTTTTTTTTTTTTTAGATTTTTACTTCAAGTTTCCCACAAAAATACAAAATAATGTTTTTATCAATTATATATAAAAAAATACAAACAACAACAACAACAGCAATAATTATAATCTACATTCATAATAATTAGCATACTTATTTTCTATACATTAATGTTGTTGTTGTTTTGGTGTGGATGCTTTTTCTTCTTCTTTTGGTTGAAATTTCAGGCTTTTGCTCTATAAAATATCTTCCGAAATCAAAATATGTACTGTTTATGTACTGAAACCAATAAATTAATCATTTATTTATTATATATTTACACAACCATTCCACACTGATAAATAAAGGGACTAAGCCAAAGGAAAATGAATGAATGAATGAATGAATGATACATAAATACCTATAATTCTAACAAGCAAGGTGTAAGTATAGGGAAAAGCAGTGAATGTGCTTCAAAACTACTTTTATGGAAGAAAAATGACTATTATTTAATGTAGTTTTGTGTTGCTATACGTTTAAAAATGCCTAGAAAACGCATGTTTGAGTGGACAATTCATCACATGCTCCTGTAGCAATATGAAGCTTTTATTTCAGCGATGCCCCATCACCAAACAAACCCTGAATCTGATATAAACACCACATCGCTTCCCATAAATCGGGAAGCGTTTTATATTTGGTGGTGGTGAAGTGCCCAGAGCAAATAAATCTCTGCGGTTGGCACAGACGTGCTGAAGCCAATCAGAAAGGCTCCAACAGATTAAAGCAGGGGTCAAAATCTTCCAGAACTCGCCGGAAAGCAGACAAGCTGAGTTTCAGGTGATGTTCAGAGCAGAAAGCAGAGCCGGTGTGTGTGTAAAGCTGAACGCTCCCTCTGAGAGAGCTGAGTTTAGCCTGGAGAAAACCTCCATCCAGACTCGTGCCAGAACCACAGCGCTGAGCATCTGCTGCACCACACACACAAATCTAACACACACACACCTAACACACACAGATACGTACACGCCTTATACACACAGATGCACACATGCACACAAAACAGGAACACACACATGCATACAGACACATACACATGTATACACACACATATACACAAACACACAAGCTCGCTTGTTTGACTCCCCACTGGGCCAGTTGGTATGTGTGGAGTTTGCATGTTCTCCCAGTGTTGGCGTGGGTTTCCTCCCGGTGCTCCGGTTTCCACCACAGACCAAATGCATGCGCTATAGGGGAATTAACAAACTAAATTGGCTGTAGTGTATGAGTGTATTGTGGCTGGAAGGACATCCACTGCATAAAACATATGCTCGAATAGTTGGTGGTTCATTCCGCTGTGGCGACCCCTGATAAATAAGCGACTGAGCTAAAGGAAAATGAATGAATGAATGAATTTAGGCATGTTACTCAGCTCACATACTATACGTATGCAATTTCGGATGCAGCATTGCAGATGTTTTCTTTGTTGTTGATAGAGTAACCAAGGCACAAGCTGTAAAGACTCGCCCTCTTTTAGAAAGGGGTGGGGACCAGCAGCTCATTTGCATTTAAAGAGGCGGAAATAGGTGCCAAGATATTAGCCCAGCAGGCACACAACGTCATCAGATGTTAATATTAGGTTAGATTCAGGTTGTGATGTCAGGTGACCAAAATTCAATGTATGTTATTTTGACGCCCAATAACGATGTCAAATTACGTTGATATTTGGTTGTTTTTAGGTTGCGTTGGTAAGTGACCAAAACCCAACATTGAGCCAACATCTTAAGCCAATTGACGTCATTTATTCGTCAGGCATGGTGACCATAGTGGTTTAGTTTAGTTTAGTTTAGTTATTTATTTTGCACATTTTTTTACAACATAATGTTGCCCAGCCGACGCAGTGGCGCAGTAGGTAGTGTTGTCGCCTCACAGCAACAAGGTTGCTGGGTCGTTGGTTCGAACCTCGGCTCAGATGATGTTTCTTTGTGGAGTTTGCATATTTGCATTCTGCATCCTGCATTTGCGTGGGTTTCCTCCGGGTGCAGGTGAATTGTGTAGGCTAAATTGTCCGTAGTGTGTGTGTGTGTGTGTGTGTGTGTGTGTGTGTGTGTGTATGTTTCCCAGAGTTGGGTTGTGGCTGGAAGGGCATCCGCTGTGTAAAAATGTGCTAGATAAGTTGTCGGTTCATTCCACTGTGGCGACCCTGAATTAATAAAAGGACTAAGCCGACAAGAAAATGAATGAATGAATGAATGAATGTTGCCCAAAGTGCTGAACACAATCAATACTAATTAAAATAAGTCCTAAATCACATACATAACAATTAAAACACAAGGCAAACTCCTAAACATTAAA